CCGCTGATCACGCCGGTCTGGGTGAAATTGATCACTATAAGCAGATGATCATTATAACCGATTTTTTTCTTCCTTTATGTCTCAGGCAGGTAACCATCTAACTGATATTTGTATATTTATTACATGAATATAAGGTAAACAGACAGTGTCGCTATTTACAGAATTTCATTGACTCTTTCAAAATACGGTACACCCGTTTAAAACGGTTCTCAAATTACATAAATTAAATTACTGAACTGTGTATAATTCAAATACGCTATAATACTGTAGCGCCGGAGGCACCTGCATGTCCCATCATGTCTTGCGAGCGTGTGTATAGACCCGTGAACGTCTTGTATTTATCCTGCATTCAATTATCTCTCTCCGAGTCGGAACTCAGCTAAAAATGTCATGAAAAACGTCACTTCCTGTCAGAGTCACGCCTCCTTTCCAATGTGATGTCGGAGAGAATTTTGTTGTCCGAGATTCCCCTGTCATCATTTCAGCATGGCGGCTTACACAGTCAACAGTAATTCTATTTTATAAATATTTAAAAATGTTTATTTTGTTAAATGCATTAATATCTTTATGAAAGCAGGGCATGCCCAGAGTTGACATCAAAGAAACAGGGTATTCCTGTTCCAGAGAACTGAACCCCTAAACAACAGAGAGGCTCGTTCTTATACATACAGTATCTGTTACTCCCCTAAAAAGAAATCTTCTACTTCAAGATGAAAAGCGTGATGACCTCAGAGGTGATGACCTCACGCACCCCCACATTCCTCTAGGCCCAGGGACAGAGAGCCAGTCGCCATCAGCTGCACCCCACCCTTGCTAGCTCTTCACATACTGTATTTCTATTTAATCCATTCAATGCAATCAAACAAACCAGATTAAATATAGCACACATATAAGACTACATAAGAAAATACACCTGTTTCTCTATTAGGTATCTCTGGCTGCTCCCCCTCAGACGGCGTTGAGCAGCCGGAGTAATACATCCCGTTCTCTCAGCAAGGAAAAGGACGCTCCAATTACTGTCATAAACAGGCAGTTTCAGCTTCCAGTTTCAGAGTCAATGCAAGACACATACATACAGACACAAAAACCATCTTTATCATTGAAGGTGAGCCCATATCACAACTGGCGGAGCAGCCATTGTAATACCAATTAATAAGCGATTCTTTGGTGTTATTTCACTGTCACTCTCCAAACCCTGACTTTACAGACCCGACTCTTCTGCAGTGGAAAACCAAAGCGAGCAGGAACCGCCCTGTAAATAGTCTCTCCCCAGGCGTGTGTGAAACAAGTATAATATAATGTGATACGAAACATGTGACTCTTTGTCTCTCTGTCTTTCAGACTCCCCACCCAGCCCCCAGGTCACCATAAACAGGGACATGGTGAAGGAGGGGGACTCTGTGACTCTGAGGGAGG